TGCAAGTTACCAAATCAACCGATGCAGCAGTCAAAAACGAACTGATGGACCTGGGGGAGTGCAGAGGCGCATCCGCCGACGAGGTGCAGCAGGCGACCCTCAGGAAATAGCCGCCAGGCGACCTGTCTCCTGGCATGTGGATCAAATGGAGGCGCAGGTTTTGGCCCACATGGAAAAACAGAAAGTGTTGAATGGCGAGGCTCTGCCTGCCGTTATGCGAAGGGGGGCCACAGAAGCACGAACCAATTTGCAGAGATCAGACAGCGAACAGGTTGGTTCAGCTTTACCGTACCTAGTTTCTAAGTCAAGTTTTCTTTGATAGATAGTACAATTTTCAATGATTCCATGGTTTCATTTAGCATCACGATCAGGGTCGTGCAATGTCGGGCCAGTTCCACTCGAAAGACATGCGTTCGAGGTTAAGTCACCGACACTCCTTCACCACTACCACCACCACCACTACCGCCCCGTTAGCAAAGTCATCTGCTTCGTCGGCGGCAGAACTGGATGAATTCGCGCGGATTCGAGCCGAAATTACTCGTGGGGAGTTTAAGAAAACCCGGGACAGCGATTTCCCAGCCGTGAGGCGACCCACCACCCCAACCGTCATGGGCATCACGCGACCGAATATGAATCACCCCCAATTCGCTAGGGGTGAGTTTAAACCTACCAATCGCGTTTTTAGTCAAGTCTAAAACCGGAAACCAATTGGATGACACTCGAGATAACGCCGCCTGTTTATAATTCGAAGGAGCTCTAAAAAACTCTTAATATTACCAACTGATTAGATTAGACTGCAAATCGAGTTTTTGTATTTCTTCCCTTCTGTGTTGAATGACAGAGAATTTCCCAGAGGAAATTTTTTTGGATCAAGTTCCGTTGACGCTTTAATGACACAGCTTGAAAGCTAAAGTTATCAAAGTTTAGTCCGTTTTAATTGCCATCAATGAGTGACCGAAGTTTGATTATGCATGCGAGTTTGTCATTTTGCAAATCGAAGCACTTCGACGGATTAATTATTGACCCGTCAAGTATTTGGTCGTCGAGAAATTGTCAGCAGCTGCGGACAGCCTTCCATTTTTGGTGCCTGCAATCCAAAATCTTGATTTACTGTGATAATCAAAGTAATTGGGATCGCACAATGCCTTCACCGGACACACCCCCAGAGGATTGGAAATGGCCATCGTGAGAGCAAATTTTGGTTTGTGGTGAGATCATGAATGCCTAACGCTATCAGGGAGACACATTCTGAGTTAGGATATTACATGTGATCATCCGTTACCTCTACATTTTAAGCTTTGCATGCAACCGCCGTCTTCTAAGCAGTTGGTGGCTGTAGCAGTCAGATGTGTGAATCAAGCTAGCGATTTCCACATATTTAGCAACAAAATTTCGGTACTGCTATCTCTTCATCTACCATCCAAACCATAAGACTCTTTAATTGTTGGCGTGATCACATCTGAATTACAAAAGGAAATATTTATCGTTTGTGGGTTCCACCTTTTTTGTCTATTGTGACTTATCGTTTGAACAAACACAGAGACTGTTAGTTCCTTTCATAAATTGTGCCAGAATTTGGATTGCTTGTGTAGACACTGAGGGGTATAATTTGTTCTCAAATTGAACCGGCACAAGGACAAAAGTCCACTAATCTGCTGGCCTGACAGTCATGCTTACAATGCTTGTTTTCTTTTGTTAGGACCTCAGCCGTCTCGTCCGACCAAGTCCTTCAGTGTGAGTTGCAGTTTGCAATTTTTCCCTTTAATGCAAGACCGCAGTTCAGCAAGGTGGTGTGTTGTCATCTTGTCACTCTGCAGTTACTACAGTCGGCATTTTACTTCTAATATCCGAAGAAACACTAGTAGCTACTTAATTGACAAAGGAATTATAACATGAGTTCGGAGACACCTTTATTTATTGACAATTTTGGCCAATAAGGTGACACGCAGAGGCCCTTTCCAAAGGCTATGGAGTCGCGTTCTTGTAGTGGTGAAGGCCACCTCTAAGCATCGCCCTAGTGCTGATGTCAAAACAGTAATGAACCTAAAACGCCCGGGTAATTGACAGTTTAGTCTTTTCCTACTAGTCGGTGTGATCTTTCACTGGTTACTACGCTATGTACAGAGACCTATTGTGAATCGTGTTTATTCACACCCCTTAATCCGGTCGCTCCACCTCCGACATAGGGTTCACTTTTTTTCGCAGCATGTCGTCAGCCCCCTCAACTCCCCCCTCATTCACACGAATATCTATCTTGGATTATCCTCACACCTAGGTCTCGATGTTAGCGCATGTATGACTCACACAAACCCGAGGTGTAAATGCACACGCGCAAACCCCACGCACGACACAACAAAACCAACGTGGCTGAGCTCGGAAGTAAACGGTTGTGTCCACGTCCTCTGCGGTCTCTTTCTTCATCGCGGGTACTAGGGAAACGTAATCGGGCCAGGGTTAATTCCGTGGCCCCGGCGTGGTTCAAGACCAGATTCTGGGGCCCACAACGGACACTTTACGGAAATGCTCGTTCCAGAGGGATTGAAGACTGCGTACACTTGGGCACGAACTACAGTAAAAACTACAGAGAACCCCATGTGGCCGTAATTAATATAATGACCTTAACAAAGAACTTTGTAAGTGAGTAGTGTTCCCGGGTTTTAGGTCTCCTCGATTCACTGTTCTACTCCCGATTTCCGGTATCTCTGCATAAATGAATCCAGATCCTCCACAAATTATGACTTGAGCGAAGTGGATGCGTCTGCGTCTGTCGTCCCAGTAAACAAACCCTGCGGTCTCCAATTCGGTCCACCATCGGCACCACTGCCACGAGCTCTACACCGGCGCCAACGTCCACAGACGACTCTCTTCGATGGACCCATGACTCCCAACCTCCTGCTCTTCAGTAGCGGCCTGGCTGGCGAGGGCAGAGAGGCACTGCGCCAGCCCACAGTGGGTTTCGTGAGGACCAGTGGGGGTCGCGTGGTGATCCCGGTTAGTGGGCGGAAATCCTCTGCTCCGGCTATCTCCTCTTCGCAGATCTTCGTGGTGGACAACCGCAGCACAGGCGGTGCTGGCTGTGCCAGGCACACGTGTTTCGACTGCTAGGTGCACACATTCGTGAACTGCACTCTATGCATGCCAAATGAAGTGATAACTGATAGGTTGAGAGAGTTACGCAGGGCCCTAAATAAGCGGAAATTTCTTGCAAACTAATTGGTTGGAGCAAGAAAATGTCTCACTCGACTTAGTTGCAACCGTAACCCCATCCTTTTGACCAATAAACTCATATTTTTGAAAATGATCTTGTGAGGCGCATCGGATTATTTGCAAGATCTACCAACTATATTTAATAACCATGTTTGAATTCAAGGTGTATTAAAAGTTGTGTGCTTTGACTCAGTAGGAGTTGTCGTGTCGAGAGCGGCTGCTGGCTCATCTAAAGATCGTGTAGCGCGTCTAAATGAGGTTGACCAAGGTGGATAGGTCATTAGAGTGACGCGATTGGGTTTGTCGAAAGGGATCACCTCGGAGTCACCCATTGTTGAGGGGCCAGACATGTTGAATCGGATCGTTTGTGCTACACAGATACCCCAGAAGGCAAGAAAAGAACCATAGACTGCAGAGTCACATCGGTTTTCCTGACAGCTCAACCTGGTTGCGGTTGTCGTGCCATTGCATATAAAAATTCATACCTTATCGAATGGAGTTGTTGATTCACACAGTCTAGGTGAATCTGTAAAGGCACAAGTAATGGAACGGCCAGATGAAAGAAGCGGGCATCGTGGGGAGGTGGACTCACGGGGCTCATAGGCAGACTGTTGCGCGAGTTTGGATTAACTGTGTGAATAGTTCATGCACTGAGGATGCCGGGCATCTTGATTTTATCGACTATTGATGAGTCATTTCTTTTTTTCAGAATTAATCAGCTACGTGAATAGGCCACCACCGATTGCTGCTGGTCACCTGTCCCTCCTTTCACTTGCTTTACCTCTCTCGCCGTCTCTCTTACCAACGTTCAAACTAAATTCCGTACTGATTGTAGGAAGAATACTATTGACTGGATTTGTACAAACTTATTCTATTTTACTCTTAAGCTATGTTAAGTCAGGCTGAGGAATGCCGTCCCATGATTAGGAGCAGCTTCACAGCCGCGATCGGGTGTAATTGATCAAAAATAGCTGCTCCAAAACTGGCGTGTTCTTTGAACTTCAAGTTTAGTTTACTTTTCAGTAGTATTATCCGACCGTAGCTCCTGCTTATTTTGCCAAAGTTAGCTTCTAGCCCATCTGAGACTGATTTGTAGTGGCTCAACACTACCTTACAACCATTTAGCTAACAGTCCGTAACAACCCGTTAAGAAAAGAGACTACAGAGGATACGGCCGGTTATTAGCGTCACGCCAGCCAAGTATGTCTTAGTGTGTGGATGATTGAGCGGATGACAGGCATCTGGTAACAGAAACCAATCAAAAGAAGATGAATCATTGACACCATCAGGTCAGTAACTAGCCTTGAGACGGTCTATGCTCACGGTATCCAGCGGTCCATTTTTGTCAATTTTGAAAGAAAATTTCGGTGTGCTCTACCACCATAAACGGAAAATCATATGGTTACAAGGCTTTTTCAACACCATCGGCGCTGACAAATGCATAAAGAAAACTGACCAAACTTGGTTGAATCCATGCTTGTCATGAGGGCATTCTTGGAAGGGTTGATCGAATTTCCTTCATGAAACACTTTAATTGGTCTACATCCGATGATGGGAACTCAGTAGTTTGATCAAAACTGGTGACCATTTCACCAGGATGACGCAAATTCCGAGCAATATGAGGGGTAGCGCGTAATCCAACGAATTAGGTCACTGTGTGGTGCTACAGCGGCCTTAGGTTGATCAAGTCTGGGTATTTTTGAAGTGAAGCTGAATAGGGTCAGTTGTTCTTCTGTAACGTTGTAATCTGAGAAAGGACTGACGTCGCTTGCAAAGGGTAACTGAAGTTTAGGTTCGTTGGAGGGTCGATTAGACGCTTGTTCTTGAGGTCGACAAGTGTCAAAGAAAGTCCGCGCCAATGATGGAGTGGGTTACGATGCGACCATGAAAACCCAACGAAACTGTCCTCGAAGTTCCAAGTCGAGTGTGAGGTATTTCTGGGGGTATCACAGATAGGTCGGCTCCGGAGTTAATCAAGAATTTGTAGTGGCTTGTGGTCTAAGCACTACCTTACAAACCTCTAGTTAGCAGCCCATAACAACCCAAGAAGAGTGGAAAAAGAGGCGACAGTGAACACGACCGTTTATTAGCATCACGCCAGCCACGTGTGTGAGTTAGGGTGTGGACGAGTGAACGGATGACAGGCTTCTGATACAGTAACTAATGAAAGGGGGATGAATCATTGTCACGTCAGGTTGGTAACCAGGGTTCACTCAGGCGTGATCGCTGTTAATCCGCTACAAGTTGCATACCCTTTGACGAATCAGATAAAAGTAAGCAGAGATTCGGGTGCCCGTCGTCAGTGGACGCCACTACTTCCAAATGTTTTCGTTCGGGTTTGAAACCGCATACCTACACAGGGATCTACACTTCAAGGCCGTTCTCCCGTAAGTTTCATGGAATCAACAAAGACGTCAAGACAGTGATCGAGAAGAGGATCTACGAAAGGACCGTGAGCGGTTCCGCCTAAATGGAGTGTTATAGCCTCTGCCTCGGGAAGGCCTGATTGACATGGCATCGATGGCCGCTTCGATATTGACTAGGGTCTCCTTCATTTTTGGATGTTTTGTCTGGCGCAGTGACGTTCTACTCTCTTCGGGGTCCAGCCTTAATTTTCGAGACCTGTGTCGCTTTGGTCGTTTCCAAGATAAGGTCTGCCGTAGCTGCCAGCTGCTCGAGGGTTGATCCTGAGACGAATGGGGCCAGAATCGGTTGGATAGCACTAGGTAGTCGTTTAATGAAAAACGCTTTCCAGAAATCTCCATGCAAAGGATTATCGTTTAAGAGCTGCTGAATCTTCCTCAGAATCTCGGTTGGCTTTAGGTCTCCTAACTCATCAAAAGCCATGAGCTGTTCTAGGCATTCGAATTTTGGCATTTGCGTACGTTTGAGTATTTCGGCTTTTAAGTGATCGTAAGGAGTTTGCTTATCGGGGTTGAGCAGCACGTCCGATAATTCGCTTACCAATATGCTGGTCAGGGCTGAAACTAAATGCAAATATTTTGCATACTGATTAAAGATGTTGGCTTCAAAAAATTGTACATCAATGACTGCAAACCAATCAGGAGCAGCATATGGCCAGAATGGAGGTATTTTCAAACTTATTCCTTCCACGTTGGTCGAAGGTTGATTCTGACGGTTGTCGATGTCGGGAATTCGGTGACCCTTTTCTCACGTTGCGGTCACCAGTATGCTGCGATGCCATATACCACTGACTGTCCAACAAGGAAGAAGTCTGCGAAAGCGCACAGAGTCAACCGTTTATTCGAGGACTTGACGAGGTCGTCGTCGTGTGTGGGTGGTTGGCGTTCGTGTGTATATTTATAGCTTAGATATGTGAGTCATAGATGAGCTAACATCGAAACCCAGATGTGAGGATAATCCAGGATAAGCGTTCGTGCGAATGAAGGGGAGTTCGAGGTCCGTGGGGTTGGTGAGATGCTGTGAAAAGAGGGACCATGTGTCGGAGGTTGGAGTAATCGGATTAGCGAGTGTGAATCAACACGTTTCACAACACCACAAAAGGTCGGGCAACAGTGTTGGCGGCACCGACTTTAATGGGTACTGCAACAGGTCAACGAGTAAAACCGTCGACACAGGTTAGGACATAGGCGAAGCCATGACATGGTGGAATAGGTGCAACCAAGTCTATATGTACATGTCGGAAACGCGCGTCTGGGAGGAGAAAATGTCCAGGTTGTGAAATATTGCGTTGGTGGACTTTGCTGCTTTGACATTGAATGCAGAGTTTACCGTATAAGCGAACATCTTTACGAATGCTAGGCCAAACAATACGGTCTGTTATCAAGCGGACGGTGGCGCGAACACCAGGGTGTGAAAGGGAATGAAGGGATTCAAATATTTGTTTTCTAAATAAAGCAGAAACAAAGGGTCGAGGCCTGCCAAGTGACATATCGCAAGTACTTTTTGAAGAACATTGGGGAAGTGACAGCTCTTTCAGCTTTAGACTAAAATTTCGACAGAGCTTTTGTAATTCAGGATCATCCGTCTGCGCTGCTGCTAACTGTTCAAGATCGATACCAGGAACTGCAGGGCTATGAATATGTGCTCGGGCCAGCGCATCAGCAACGACGTTGTCAGTCGAACCAACGTGGCAAATATCGCCTATAATCTGTGAAATAAAATCAAGATATCACGATTCGCGAGGTGATAACCGATCAGAGACTGCATGAAAGGCAACAAATAATGGCTTATGATCCGTAAAATTTGCGAACTCACGTCCTTCCTGTAGGTGACGGAAGCGTTGTCACAGCAAGATAAATCGGCAATCATTCGCTAGAAAAGGTATTGTAACGGGTCTGAGCTGGTTGAAGCTTTCGAGAAAACAATGATATCTGCTCAGTACGACCATCCAGCTCTTGTTAAGGACTGCGCCAGCCGCAGTTTAAGGAGCATCTGTTCGTAGGACAAGTTTTGCTTCCTTCTTCTAGAAGTACAATTTCGTGGCATCTGCTATCGCCTCCATTATAGCTCGAAAAGCAGCTTCAGCCTCCTGACTAATCGCTATCTTCTTGGGATTCCTTTGAAGCAAATCAGTCAACAGAGACGAAATTTCAGCAGCCTGTGGAATGAATTGTACATAACAGTTGACTAAACCAATAAAACGACTTAATCTACGAGGTGGATCTGGCATTGGGTACTCCCGTATAGCTAGTGTTTTCTCAGTTAGGGGTCTAATACCGTCTGCATCAAATTGATGTCTAAGTAACCCGACGCTTCTACTCAAAGAATGCATTTTGGAGGGCTAATTTTGATGCCATGGGCTTTTAAACGATTAGAGTATCATCAATACCGACAAATACGAAGTCAAGACCACATAGAAATTGATCCACTAATCTTAGAAGGGTCTGTGCTGTGTTGCGTACACCAAATGCATCCATTGAAACTCGAATAGACCGAATGGGATAATAACGGCAGTTTTAGGAACGCCTTAAGGGGTCACAAGAATTTGATGACAAGCCCGGACAAAATCAAGTCTTGAAAAGATCAGAATGATTTAAACCCAATAAAAATTCATGGATATCAGGGATGGGGGACTGATCAGGTACTCTGAAGTTATTCAGTGATTGGACTTCCTTCACAAGCCAAACTATAGGCTTCTTTGACTAACAGGCCTACCAAATGGCAAAATAAATGGGTAGGTCACTATTTGTTCGTCCCACTGGAGTAGAGATATGCGATAGGAGACTGGCAGAATGAACCCGTAGTGTACAAAAGCTAAGGGGTTAGAGCGTAGGGATATGGTTTGTGAGGGAACATGGGAACATGCAAGCTTTCTGAGATCGGGTCTGAAATAAACAATCGGCCCTGAAGCATTTTTGAATAGGCTAAAATACCTTGTCATTAGCTCAGAGAAACTTATTGAAAATTTAAACAAAAATGGTTTTCGTTTAGATTTTATTGGCATAGCACGTGATACACAACCTTTCTAACAATCTAAGTAAATTGGCATTTGACAAGTTACGTATCATGTCCCCATAAAAATCTCTGAAATAAGGAGAATAGGCCCGATATGTCAAATAACAAAATGCAAAATTTGTAAATACCCGGAAAATAAATTACAGCCCGCAGACAAGTCCGACGTCTGAAATCCGTCAACTTAACAAATGGTTTCTCCGAGAACCATGCACCCACGACACCTCATGCGACCTTCCGCAGTCAGATCGATAATTCCAGGTTTTAAATTACCACGCGTGCTGTTCAACTGCCACGATAATGACTGAAGCCCGAGCAAACGCAGGCAAACACCGGGTCCCAGCTCATGCGGCCAAGAAAAGGGCCAACGTTTGCAAAGCGTCCTGTAAATCACGCAAGGCCAGGTCGTGTCCCGTCCATGGCAGAAGAACGAGAAAGCATAATAGGAGTAGGCGTCCAGGCATGAAGGCCACTCAGTCTCGCCACGCTTCCCAATCAAAGTCTGCGACGCCATGCTCGCCTAGTTCATCTTCGTGTATACTCGCGAGGATCGTAAATTACATCGTGGCTCGAACTGTGGGTCGTGTTTTTCGCGGGTCTAACAGCTCTAACAGTTCTCTTTTAAATCTTAATTCGCTCAACGGTCGGGTTGACTCAATTCTATCGCTCCAACTATCGCCCAGGGTGCGAGGTGAAACGAAGGCACTGGTACAGCACCTCAGATGCCTGGCTCGACTCGAGGCAATGGAGCGCTACATAGCTAAGAAGAGGAGGGAAGTAAAGAATCTGAAGGTTCAGATAAATGGGCTAAACCGCATCAGAACGACCAGGAACACTGCTGCGCTACACCCAGTGCCATTCTCCAAAGGTTCTGTACGTTCTTAACTTGACGTGCGTTATACACAAACGTAAAGTCAGACTCAGTAAAGAACAATAGTCAATTAACTCTACTTTTTCTAGTGCGTACATGTCAACGCACCTAAGCACGCACGTTCGAAGCTAATTTCGGGAATTAAGTCAATTTGTAATGGGTTCTGTGAAGACTAATGATCCCTCTAAATCCGAATGTTTTTGTGGTCATAATATAGTCGAGACGGTAGTCAGAAGATCTTTGGTTTAGAATATTAGATACACTCGAACAGAGAAAAGGTCCAAGGGGTTACTGGTTATGGAACTGCCTCACTGGTTCTCATTTAAAACTAAAATTCACTCTTCTAAGCACTTAAAAGCCAACTTTAGGTTTGTGAATTTTCGGAGAGTCTTTGGACTGTAGTAAAACAGGAGCCAGTGAGCGAAATTTCGATTTCGACTATCATGGCCAAAGTTTTAATTTCAACGCCGTTTTATCCCATGATAGAGTCAAAACCAGGGGTAGGGCTGGTCTGGGGACATCCTTGTGTGGAAAGCGAGTCCACACAATCAGTCAAATCCCTCATGCCTGTTCTGTTTCGAATTCAACTCTCGTTTGACGTTGCAGTCACCCACCATCATTTGATTGACACTTGCCAGTAGGACCTTTTACTTGTACACTCGCAGCTGCTTAGTTAGGCAAAATATTTCATATTTTGACCACCTAAAAGGAAACTCCAGTCTTGTGTTGAAGGGCGGGTTTTGTATTGAAGTGAAAGCTTGTGGTGACTTGCCACCATTACCCTACAATCTTAGTAGTTAACAGGCCGTACAACCCAGAGAAAATCGATAAAGGATACGACCGTTTATGTGCGTCAGGTCTCGTGCGCATGTAACCGATGCCGTGAGACATTGATACCTTGAGGTGAGTAAATTAGCACCCCTTACGTCCGCTAAATGACAATCCACTACATGATAAAACCAAAGGGACTAAGGAATATAGACGAACACGGAGTCATTTTCTGTCCATGCATTCTCAGTTGCCATCTTTGTGAATTGTAAACATTTTACAACTTATTTTATGCCACGAAATGCAAATCTGCAGCACAAGCTTCGTGATTAAGCAAGTTGCGGAAGGGTTTAACGCAGCCAGGTACAACCACGTTGATGAATTTGCAAAGAATTCTTTTGCAGTGAGTGAATTTTTGACAACGTTGGCAGAACTTTGACTCATGGGCGTCTCTAGACCATCCACAAAGTCTAAATTCTGGCAGTAAATTTCCTTTGCCGACCTCAGAAAGGCTTAAAGGGAGATGCGACGTCGATTCTCCATCAATCCGAATCGATTGTCATGCATTACCACTGCTGTGTAAAGGTTGGCATTGTTGTGGTGAGATGCCATTCTTTAGCATTTAACTAACCTTGACTTCTTTTATTTGTTTGTACACCATTAGTGAAGTGTCCATTGTAAACCACCAAAGTGACTGCTTGTTCCCACGACACCGGCTTGGTATACACAGTACACTTGCAGTTCTACTTAGTTGTCGCAACCCAACACTTATAGGACGCATGTCATCCCCTCACTCATCCACACTTCGCTGAAGTGACGTGAATAAGCGTTCGTGTCCTCCATCACCTCTTCTCCCTCCCTTCTCTGGTTGCTAAATGGTGCTAAGTGAAGCCAATACAAGATATCCGAAAGCGCTTTCATTGACAGAAGCAAGAGTTTGTACACAATACGAATACAGATAGAAAACGTAGTTACAAAAAAGACAATGTCACAGCAACTGCGCAGCAGTAACTGGCTAAGCTGCCAAGACGGTGGTTCGAGGCATGGCGTTGCTGAACCATCAATATAATTCACTAATTCTAAAGAGAAAAAAATGTCAGTGGCAACGACTTCCTTGTCACTACAATGCACATACATAAATTTAGAAATAAATTTTACTCACGGTCGGTCCCTAAATAATGCAAAAAACAAACAAATTAAGTACATTTGTTTTTATAATACAGATCTTGATGCTTAATTTGGGGTGCGATGAAATGTACAAGCAAGCGATTCACGACAAGGCAAGGTTTCAGACAAATGACTACGCGACAAATTAAGCTGCTAAGCGAAAGCAAGCGACATTGCGCACAACATCAACGAACTTACATAAATTGGCTGAAATGTGGATGGAATAAGACATAGAGTGCCACATTCACCTTTTGGGTGGTCGAGTTGGTTCAAAACAGTGTGATCGCAACACCTCCTACTCACAAAAAGCAGTTTTACACCACTTCAGTCTATAATTGGCAGGACGTGTGATGTTTAGTACCTTCTAGAACGCCATGGTCATTCTGACTTCCAGAACGCCCGTTTAATTGCAGATGGACATTCAGTTAGTCTACATTCCCTTCAGGAATTTCGTAAGGTTTTGATATCGCATACACCAACTCCGACTGTGTGAGAAGCTGCCACAGTTCATGACTGGACCAACGATTGCGACATGCAAAGTGACAGGTTACGTGCCAAATGTACATCAAAAGCACGTAATGCTGAAATTGCAAAAATGAAAAAAAACCAAGCGGCTAAGGAAAAGCAAGTTCACGTACATTGGGCGTAAAATCGAGCCTTCAATATCGTGTTCTTTGACTAGTGCCGCTACAATGGCACTGGTTATATCACTGTAGCTGACCCACAGCATTCCACAACCGTTTTCGTCTATATTTGCAACAGGCCCGTACAAATTAAAGTGTTCAAGCAATTGCGCTTCCGAGGTGTACTTGCGTAAACCATTGAAGGTAATAGAGAAGCACGAACTAGGATCAGGCAGGTGGCTAAAATTGAAAACAAAAAATCGCGGCACTAAGTTCGACTTGAATTTACGCAGCCAACCCGAAGGAAGAGGAGGATCCACTTTCGAAAAAACGCGGGGAAACCCACCATTCCCCGTTTACCAGTGTCCTGCGACACACAAACTCACGTGGGACTTTGCTCTGTCAGAGTGATAGTCGAGGACCTAATTTTGACCGCACCTGCAGCGAGTGCAGCGGAGGCAGAACCAGGCAAATCAAAGGCCACGTAGCCGTTTCCAGTTAGTGAATATCCGCTCTTATAGATCCATATTATGTGAACAATTCGTCCGAAGACGATGAAACGGTCAAAGAAGTCAAGCAGCGAGACGTCTTGCCCGACACCCGTAAAGTACACGAAGTACAACCTTCGTGACGTACAATACGGAACACGGGATCCGAAGCTACAACGAAGGAAGACAGCAGGAGGCGCGTGAACAAATCAACTGGTCATTAAGGGCAGTTGAAATGATTAAATGACGTGCGTGCATGCATGCATGGCTACATGCTAACAGACAGAGCGTTGGACAGCTTTAAGGACAACATTACAGTCACACTGTGTTGATACTTCGAATTAAAATCTGCGTTGCCATGGTTACATTAAAAGACCAGACCTGTAACAGGAAAAGCACAGTTGCGTGCCAACTTGGACAATAAATGGAACTAAAACCGATCAATAACTCGATACTCACGGTGGAGCTGGGGGTTCGAGATGATCTAAATACATCGATAGCAGAGAATCCATAGATTCAATAGATCCAGATTCAACACTACAAGAAGCAATTAAACATTTAACGGACACTAGCTTTCAGCCACCATGAAAGCTCACAAGAGTTAGAGAGGGTGGGAAATGCCATTACAAGCTCCCTCAAAACAAGAACAGAGGACTGGTAAAACCACATAACGCAAATCAACCTTTGCTAGTTTCACATCCATCCTACTGTCACCTGACCAGTAGCTTCGCTTGTGTCCACCATGGTTCCCCTTTCTGCTCCCTCATTGGTCAGCCACACTCCAGATCAGTAACCAAATTGGACAGATCAACTTGCCTAAGGGTACACCAGGAGTTGGTGTGCCAAATTCATTCGGTATTTTACACAGATTTATGCACACACGTTAATTAACGTCATGTTTAGAGCAACACAGTCAACACCTTACACTCTAAATAGCTCATTTCATTTTCCAAGTTAACAATTCAAAGATTTAACGCAAATTCAAAGTCACCCTGCGATTTAATGGGACAGTATCACCGTGGGGTTAAAAGCTCGACAAGTCCCACGTGCCTGACACGATATTTGGAAAAGGGGCGCGACATTGCGAGTAGATGGATTTAGTTGAATATTTTGGGATATACCAAAACAATTTCGCAGTAGTTTTACCGTACCCAGAACCTTATCTGAAGTTAACTAATGAAGTGAAGTGTACGGCTCAATTTGCCGCCTGACTATGTATTTCGCTCTCCGAAATTGCGACTAGGCTACACTTTAAATTCAAAATGTTAAAAACTTTTTTAACTTACAATTAAACTCAAAGCAACGCAACGAAGCCACGATTATTTAGGTCATCAAAAAACGCAAATTTAAAGGCAAAAGTATTCCACTGGATCAGTAGGTGATATATAATGACTTCCGAGTCAAACCTACTACCTAGATGGAAAATTTATTGAACATAGGTTGTGTTTACCTAAAAAAAACACACAGTTGGGTGCTTAATTTAATGCATTAGCAAATGGTGCTCTATCACGAAGTTAACTTCCAAATCTCACTCCACATCCAAGGCTGGTAATACCGAGCAGAATTCACGTTTCCATGGCTAACACACAGAGTATCCAAAATACCCATAACAGGAGCAAAACGAATGTGTGCGGCATTCGAAGCGCTGTTAGAATGTTGTTAGACGCAAATACGCATTTGACGTTAGAGGTTACATTCGGCCGACCGCCTCAAAATACCAAGGAAACAATACTCACTGTGTGACAGGTGGATGGATATGGTCTACATAAGAAGGCAACAAAAATTCGAGGGTTACCAGTGGAGACTACAGCTAACAACGTTGAACAGACCACACAAATGCGATTCCGTTTATCGAAAAGAAGAAGAGCCAAGCCCTTGTGAAGAATGTATGTATGCCTTTGAAACGAAATGTGCCAACAAGGCAGTCTCTATGCTGCTCACAAAAAGTGCTCGCAGACGTGCTGTTGGCATATTAGAACGTAAGACCATCGGAGTTAATTGCATGGTGTAATTAATGCACAGCCAGGCAAATTTTTATCACAAACACCGCCAGGAAACATTACATACCTCCGAGCTGTCGCACTCGCTTCTCTTGAACAGCCGGCCAACTCAGTTACTTGGGCACAAGCCGCATCGCCTGAACACACCGCCTTGTCGCCGCTCCTAAGTCGATGCAAAAAAACCGCTAGCATTCGGCAATACTAACAACCAGCAAATACGACAATCTTTATCGACTTCATGCTGATACGCAGGATGGAATCATTAGGACGAAATGCAATCGGCCCGGATGAGGAACTGCGGCGACTTTGAGAGTCATGCCACAGTTGGCAGCTTGTACCCAGCTACTGATTTGACACAAGATAAACACATTAACCTACTCAGAAATTCTAGCTGCCTCTTGATGCGGTTTAATTAAAGTGTCGCTTACGGCCTGGGTTTTTGGTCCAGGCGCAGTATCGTAAGTAGGGAAGTGCCAATCCACAAGGGTGAGGCCGCAAACGCTGATCTGACTGCGGACAACGAGTCGAAAGTTACGTAACCCCGTCCATTGGTGTGCATTCTATTCGGTTGGAGAAATCGCCGGATCTCACCAACGTGTCCAAACACAGAGAAGGCTTCTCGTAAATCGGGCTCTGTTATGTTGGCTTTCATGCCCTTGAAGAACACGCGGTATTCCCATTCAATACTGTCACGATGCGGTGATACGTCGACACCATGTCTTGATTAATGCAGAAAGGAGAACAAGTCAAGATGACGCACTTGTGCAAATTCACCAATCAGACAAGAAATGGGTGCTGTGAATTGCCAATGCAGTGAGGATTAAGAAGTGCCAATAGACATGACTTACTTCTCTTTGGCTGCAGCACTCGTTTCTTTCGAGGAGCCTGCTGATTCAGCAGTTTGATTACCAGCAGCTTCCTTTGAACATGGCGCTGCATCTTCGCTCCTACATCGATGAAGCACAATTGATAACATTCGAGAATACCAACACCCAACAGGGCTATTGATGCTGTTCGAGGCAAACTCACTTCTCAACTGAAACCGACCTCAACGCATCCCTGCGCCAGTCCTCATCAACATCATCTGATTCGGTAAGGATTGAGGTAGCATAGAGCAAACGGGTTGATTCAAGTAGTGCGGACAACTAAAACGCCAAAATTACGGTATGACGCTGCAAATGCACATTCATTTGGAAGTCACCGCCAGCATGTCTGGCCGCGAAGCGTCAAACACATTCCTGGTCATTTCTGGTCTTATGATTATGTGCTTTCTATGAATGCAGTATTGCTAGGACGGGTTACGTCGATTTTAAGCACCAGAGAATACGTGGCATGAAGGCAACACAAAGGATAACTGGTCAAACCAGTGCATATACTTTACGACGTTTCACATAGAAACGGCTTGTCCCAGGGATCTGGGAAGTTCGTGAACGCCTACCTCAAAACGTACTATTGCTACTCCCAAGTACATAAAAACATTTTTCCGTCTTCGATAAATGCCTGCTTAACCATAGCAGAATGCCACTTACATGTTTCAACACATTGGACACCGACAGCAAGCGGAGGGAGGATGCGAAACCAGCGATGAAGCTTTCGATTTCCTGCGCTCCTTCCACAAGTGCCATCATTTTTTGTCGGCATTGCAGAAGACAAGTTAATTTCTGTTTAATTGAAAAAGGATATACATTTATCCCTTCCTTTTGTAAATCATGGAAACTGGGCACACAATCTCCAAAAAAATCATACCCCAAAAAATCACAACACGTGGTAAATTTCCATTCTGATAACAGTTACTATCGCACTGCTTACAGTAATAGCAACAACCTAGCACTCGTATCTGACTCGTTGGTTAACAATGGCAAGGGACTGTTACTAAATAGCACTTTACTGTGAAAAATACATGCGCAACGAGCTTTATTTGCGTCAATGTATCATCTTAACAACATCATGACATACCTTACATCTACGCATGTACTCAGCGCCTTCTTTCAACTCTTTTATCGCCTCACTGTATTGCGCAATTCTGCAAGCCACTTTATCAAGATCGACGGCTTCTTCTTTTTCAATAATACGCACACGATCGTTAGCCTTTAACAGAGCATTATCAGCTGACGATCGAAGGTCCTCGACTGCAGAATCAATTTTCTGCATTAGAATCTGCCGACGACTGGAAGATGAAATTTGCTGTCGCATACGCTGAAGCTTCTTCGCGATCTCATCTGACTGTAGGCATAAAAGGCATAATTTGGCTGCTTAACAAGATGCCTTTAACATCACCTACTATGTTAAGAATATGTGGAACACAAGCACGAATACGGATGGAGTCAGAGATTAGTCATTTGCAATCTCCATCTTGTTTAACCTGTCCATTTCCGATCAGTCTGTGAAATAAGACATGCATACAAGCAAACAATGCAATCTACAGTGGTTTAATGGTATTGCAAACAGTTGTTAGTAATCATTTTAAACACAATTTTGTAAAAAATATACTACTTACTACATTACTCGATGAAAGCGAAAGGCGATCAAATGTTTCACTGATGAAAGCTTCTTGTGACATGTCGCTACACAAACTAAGTCACAAAAAAATAACCACTAAAGATCACGGCATAAAATGGACTTAAAACAGCAACATTATGGCAACCACATAGTCGGCCCATCATTTAAATACACATCTACTGCAACACTTGGAAGAAAATTGATACTAATAACTTGTTACTCTGCTACCCTAAAAACATTTCTCTTATATTTAAAGTTTATAAATAACACGACAACCATAAGTGAGTGTCAGTAAATGGGTTAATCTGGGCGTTTTTTTACAGCTGTCAGATTTCACACCACGTTTCCGAGGTGTTAAGTGCTCTGCGTTAAATTCATGGGGAAGGCTTAAACCACATGGAAACGAAATTGCTACAGCTGGAGCTTTTTCTGCTTTGTTTTGATCATGTTTTTTGTTAAGTTGGCATTACAGACCTGAAAAAAAATTAAATGCGTTCGTTAGTGGTTGGCCTTTTCAGGCAATATAATATTGCAACCAAATATTTAAACTTTAGAGAGAAAAATACCAACACTAAAGCCCATAATGGTACACTTATGCGACAAACCCAAACTATGAAATCCAAAATAACAACTTCCAAAACACACTATAAATATGTTAGTACAGTATTGTATTTTGACCAGTAATCTCAAACTATGGGAAGTTTGTCATTTCTGACATGTCAGAATACACTGATGTGACACTTTTACCGGATTTTAAGATTTCGAAACCATTTTTGATCGAATGCGTTTAGATAAAAATAAAAAGGCTGTCCACAAGACATGAAAGCATTCTAAACATGTCTGTGCATCCGCGTAAAAATATTGCGAACCATTACCGCAGAAAGCAAATTGACTAACAACTAAAGAATGAACATCCAGCTGCCTAATTTTAAGAACATGGTGCGCTACACATTCATATATCTGAACATTAACAAAGCGCTATGAAATTCAATAACTCTACATACATGTTCTTAGAAAGCATTAACTTGCATACCAATCGGACTTATTAACACAAAGCACTGATATTCTACTACATTTTCATGTCAAACTGACATGCACTTACAAGTTTTTGAGCGCAACATCTAACGTTACGGGTGTACATGGAGAACTCACCAGAACTAACCACACACTGAAGAGGAGCAGAATAACACACTCAACGAACCGAAATACTGACCAATAACATAATCCCTAGGTCATCTTCGCAAATGCTTTGTACAAACAAACTTTCGCAGAATTGTGTCATCTTGTTTAAAATCCAGAAATCTTTCTATGTGTAGATATTAAGTTAAAAAATAATTGCATAAAACTGCATAAAATAGAAAGCATTCAGTTAGTCCACAAAAACAGTTTTAATATCCAGTTCTGCCTGAAATCAAATAGGCGAAATGTTCTGTATTTCTTTAATCTAAATTTCATCGCCAACCCAAAAAATTATCTTCATCTTGATTCATGTTGGATTTAGGCTTGTAGCCAGTCAAAGTTAATGCACTTTCGTGTCCAGATAAACAACACATCTCTTGCAGGTGAACCGATTTTAATACTTTGATCCTGTGTTGACCAAAGAATCTTGGTGAAGCAGTTCAATTTATTAAATAGATGCAGCTGTTTGGTTAATTAAACCCAAGGTTGCTTGGTAGAATTTTATATCACCAATGTGGTGTAACGCATATTCCAATATGTAAATTAAACTAGAGTAAATGCTTAATATCGATTTGCATGGATTCTCCAGTCAGGTCAACTGTCTCTCTGTCTCCCTATCATGACTTTGAAAAAGGTGCCTCGTGTCAAACTGATTTATTATATACCAATGGCTTAATAATCCATTGAAATCAAGATGTCGAAGTCTTAGGAATGGAAGTTTTTGTAAACCCGTAATGTTCCTGGAATGTATACCTCTTGCTCAAAGTTATAAGCAAATAAGTACATTTCTCAAGTGGTTTTTGGCAACTTATTACTTGCTTGACATGCAGAGTCAATGATAGTCTGCAGTGCTGCAGTCGTATCCTTTCCAACAACATAAATATCATTACTAGTATCATACTCTGAAACCAAATCCACTTAACTCCGCTTTATATTATCCAGTGAACATGGTGTAAACAATTTTGTGCCTTACGGTGATTTCTAAGCCAGTTATTCTTTTCTTGGCAAAGTGTATGCTAAATCAACAAAGCCACTGTTGACTAATTGCTTTTCTTCACACTGATCGAGTCCAATTTCTGTAATAATAACGTTAAATAAGATGCAAAACGCAAACCATACAGGTTGCATGACGGATTAATGGATGTTTCGTAAATGTTAGTTGTATAAATTAATTCTTACAGATTTTCTCTTTGAGACTACAATTTTATTTAAAAAAGAGATTAGTATGCTTTTTTATAGTTTAAGGGAGTCTACCGCACGGTTTCAGAACATGAAATGACAAGTCTACGGGAGTTAAATTACCTCTTAAAATAGCATATTTTAGGATGGTAACTGATAAACTCCATATTAAACACCGCATTTATGCAGCTTGCAACGTGAAAAAAAATGCTTTTAGAACTCAAAATCAGTTTTAAGGTCATTTCCTGTCAATGTTTTGACTTAATAAACGTGCAATTATTAGTACAGCTCCCATTAAATTATTGATTTTGATTTCAGTATTCGGCTACGCTCCAGACAGACTTAATTTTTGAATTTGCCAAAATTTTAAGCTAAACCGAATGCAGACTCCAGACAAACCAACTAGAAATTAAAGCCCTGTTAAATGTCACCTAAGCAGCCATTTTGAAACATTTGCACTAAATGTAAAAATATTAAAAAAATTTGGAAGTTGTCTCTCACATTTGTTGACAGAACACTACCTAGGTCAACGTATGAACACGTGCATTTACTGCCGGCGAAGAAAGTACATCGAATGGAAAATTGTAAAATGTGATATAAAGTACTTATCTTCGAGGAACCGAGGCAACTTAGTCCATCGACGCAAAACATGCATCCATTTGATGATGAAGGTTACCCTGTGTATCTGGTGGGACGCTAGGTGTCTACTTCATTACGAACTTTTGGAAACTGGTCGCAAAACAGTGACTGTGGAATGCTATAGCCGATAATTTAAAAAATGGAGAACGGAAGTTGATTAGAACAGGCTATTTACTGGGCAAGGCATCAGGCAACTCATCTTCGCACCCAATCGACCCACAACAACCACTTACATTTTTGAAAAATAGCAATTATCAATGTTGCCAATGCTGATCAAAGCAAACTCACTTCTTAATTGAAACTGAGGCAACGTAAACCAATTGGGTTGAATCGAGTCTTGTGGATAACCAAGGTCAAAAATTTGGAAAATGCGCTTCTATATCAATTTATTCCCCACGAAGTCGTCAAATCACTTTCGCACACTTTTGTCCCTAAGATAATGTGTTCTCATTAAATGAAATGCTGCTAGGAAACGTTTTACCTTTGGGATTATCTTTTGATGACAATGTAAAGCACTGCCTTTCCTCTGCGTGACCATTCTTAAGACGAATTGACACTGTGCTGTGTGAAATGGTTAATTACAACTCCCAAATAAGCTTTTCTGTCAAAACGACTTTGGTTAAAGCTATGCAAACAGACAAACTGCACACGTTAGGGTTGATTGGCATCTTAAGTTTGTTCGTTGTCAAAGGGACCTGGGTCGAGTTGTCTTGAGGATCTAGTTTATTTGTAAAAAAAGCCTAATTGCTACTTCAATTCTTGTCACAATAAATAGCTTTTAGCGTTTAGTACATATTCAACCTTGACACTGAGCAAAGAATGCCACTTACCAGCTTATGAGCATTCGACACCGACAGAAATTTGAAGAAAAAGGCAAACCTAAAGATGAGGTTTTCGACTTCATTCTCCCCTTCAACGAGGACCCTGGGTCTTTGTCGGATTTTTCTAATGCTTTCCGATTCCTTTAAAATTGAATCGGACATATCTTGACATGTTTCTTTTAAAAATCATGGAAACTAGGTAATTAACTCTGCCATTTGACAAGTCACGGTTTTGGCCGCATCTTCGACGTGCCTTTGATATCTGATTGGTTATTTTGCCTTTCGCTAGTATTTAAATGAACATTGAGATTATCAACAGCAACATCAACCTCTTCATTTAAACAATTAATAACGGAGAGGATTGGATAGAATTGGATGCAATGAAGCCCTAATAATACAAGCAAATTAATATGAATCAAAATAGCAGTTTCCTTTCAAGTGTTGTTTTCTTGACAACCTACACACAAGGAAGCCATGCGCTTAACTATACTTATGCGGAATGTGTTTTAAGGCCGTATAATCGATATTTCACGAGTTCACTTATTTAAGTTTATAATTTAGAATCTCCTTTTTGCTTGTCTAAATGTTTCACTTTGAGGGGCTTTCGGACGCTGAGATGCAGCGTGTAATAAGAGCGTTGAAACTATCGCTTTTGGTATCACGCAGTTACGTTCAATATTTTCAAATTGTTTGGTGGCGTACCATTTTTACCAGTCTCGGTGTTGAGTAAAATGTCAATGTGCACCACATTACTTGTGGTCTTAATGTTTGTTTTGTTGTCATTTCAATTCCAGCACACTAAATGCCTCTTTTCATACCTTTCCTGAAATCTTCTTACGTAATCAACCGACTCTTTACCCAAATCCCATTTCTGATGTTTTATAATATCCAGTGAATGCCAAGTAAATGATCTTCTTGAAAGTCACAACATTGAAGTCGCAGTGGTCCCTAAGCCGTTTGTACGTTGCTTCAAGTATTGCGCGCCGAATCAGCCAAGCAACCGCCAGCTGCTTACCCTGCCTCACGATAGTGCTAGTCTGCATTTCGGCCAAATCCAACTTCGTTCTTCAAATGATTCAAGCTAGGTGCATATCCTATTTTGTAAAAAACCGTTTATGATTCAAAGCACTCCGTAAATACGTTTATACTGCCATTAAAAGATTGAATGAAAGATATCTTAAAACCGCATTTGCTAGCAATTAGAAGGCGTTAGTATACGCTCTTTACTCGTTGATCACGCATATCATCAAACAAAAGGCTAATAATGTTAAAATAACAGTCATTTTCACCGAAAAAATAATCAGGTCGACGGCCGAATCTCGGGATTCATTGCCAACTGGCTTAACGAGATGAAACACCAAGTTTCGTGAGAATTTGTTTAATCATCAAAAAGAGACTCTGTACCCAGTACCATCCACGTCATCAATCAGCACTTTCAAGCAGAGATATTTTAAACGCAAAAAAGGAATTCATTGGGGTGACACTAAAAAAGTCTGGTTTTTTTGGATTTTCACAAGATAAGCTTTTTCGTATTCCCTTAAATTCAACAAGTCGAGCCCCTGTCTTTATAGGACGCTTACAATCCGCATAGAACAAATTTGGCACACCCGTCTTTTCTTGTACTTGTTTCATGTACATTTCAATGAATAAAGTACTTACTGAAAATAATTAACTCGAATGGTTAATAATATGGGTGCTCTGAAAGCCTGGTGACTTCTTGTGTAAACCACGCTTTTCAAATAATGTTTCAAATGACCCCATTTACGAAGGTTCAAAAGCACTTTTTTCTAAAATATTAACTCCCATAATTGGAGACCGAAATATCAAAAACGGTAGGAAACATTATGCAAATGTTGCTTCTGCTGTTATCAAAAAGACAATATTTGCCGTTTTTTTAAAAATTGGTTCCTTTCTGAATTGTTTCAGTAGTAACAGTTTATTGCCACAGAAATGCACACAGCGTGACATGCTGCACTAAGAGTCAAAACAAAGACAAACGTTACAGCTGGTTCTGGCGAAGTTAGCAATCATTATTAGTCAAAAAAGGTTATATTGTGGTTTGTGGGGAAGTACAACCAAAGTTCCACCCTAATTTCGCAAACCTAAAACAACAAACCATTTAGTATTTGAGGCTTTCAAAGCAAGTTAGCTTATTCAAGGAATATTCCAAAAATAGTTCTTTCACTTACGATTTATCCCTATTAATTGAAAAATAAGATAAATAATGAGTACATTGGTTAAACCAAAACTGAAATACAATCGATCGTTATTTTGTTACATAGTTAGTGCAAAAATTACAAGGTTAACGGTTTTCACGAGATCATAGGTTATAGGTGGCCCTGCGAAGCTATGACGAATGTGACTTATTGCATTGACAAATTGCTGTAGCTTGATTTAACGAGTAATGTCTAATGAACTTACATAAATTTGCTGGAATAAAGAAAGAATCGTGTGGTATTGTATCACATTAGCCATCTGGGTACGGGTTTTCAGTGACGCCCAATTAAGGGACATTTTTCACATCTGAAATTGATATTTGACTGATTAGTTTCCCTGTCCTACTAGCTTAGTAAAACGTTGAGATCACCCATAACTACAATGACCGCGGTGAATTGGCCTGGGTCACCTAGAGTACTGAAATTTAAGCAAAATGGGCCATATTTCATGATTGTACCAGCGACAAACACAGTTGCACAACTGACAAGATAGCTCCCAGCTGGGCGTTACAGTCATCCACTGCCAAACCACTGCAGCTGAGGAATGGCAACTTCACATACACTGGGTGTAATTCAGAGGCGCCGACTTCATGAACTTTGTCCAAGCTCGCAACGATGGCACTGGTTATGTCAGTGAAGTCGATCCGTACGTTGCCACTAGCGTGTCTTGCAACTTTTGCGACCGATCCATACTGGCCGAAATGTTCGAGCAACTGATGGGAAGACGTTTTTTTGCGAAAACCACTAAACAAAACGCGGTAGCACTGCCTGGACCAAGGGAGTCGGCTACAAAGGACAAAGAAACTTGTCACCAAGTTTGATGCTTATTCCTGACATAAAATACGCAACAGATCTGAAAGGATGATTAGCATTATTTAGATTCTTTTGGCCACTAATCTAAGTGTATGAACCCTAAAACCCTAGTGGTCAAGGAAACATTCAACACGATAGAAATCGATTAGGTTGTTAGAGCAGAGAAAATCATTTTGCTAGATTCGTGGCTTCACCTAGACTTCACAAACTCAACTTCTGTTCGACGACAGGACAAAATGCGTTGATGGAGAGGGGGAACGTTAGTCCCGGTGTACCAATGACGTGCAAGACACCAACCCAGATGGCAACAGCCTGTGCACGAAAACTCACGCGGGACTTTGCATTGTCAGAGTGAGGGTCGAGGATTTAACCTTAATTGGAGCCGCAGCAAGAGCAGCTGAAGAGGAATCGCACGAGTCGAAGGCCACGTAGTCGCCTTCACTTGTTGACTGCAAGTCAGCAATGGATTGGTGGTGAATATGAACAATGCGCCCGAACTGAATAAATGCGAAGAAGAGGTCAAACAGAGAGATGTCCGTCCTCGCGCCATCAATTTTGACGTAGTGCAACTTTCTTGACGTTCCGTCCGGAATACTGGGTCCAAACCTAAAAATTAGGAATATACGGCGAAGCAAAATTGGGTCGTGCAGTTTCACAGAAAAATGAAACTTGATTGATCCTTCCGTCGCTTAACAAATCGCAATTCCTTCATCAGAAGCAAATACCCACTCACGATTACCTGATGTGGATTTTAAAAAAAATTGCTGTTTACATCAAGCACACATTACCAAAATGAGAATTGTTCAAAAAGAAAGGTGAATGGAAATTGATTATTGGTCGACACTTAAGCAGTTGATTGGCCATTTTCAAACTCCAGTAGAAAATTTTAATTGCTGTTGTGTGGTTATATATGAACGTCTCACATGTAGCAGGGACAATGTAGATGCGCATGTATGTGCCATATTTGATGCAAATTATATAATAAATTCAATTTTTTATTGATAACAATTTGGTAAAATTTTGTGGCAAAATTAGACTTCATGAATGGACTAAATTTATGTCATTCACGCACGAATTTGTTCATGACTGAGTCAAGAAATGATAACATATCCTGGATTTAAGTAGAAAATAATGTTGTATCGGCTTGACGAAATGCGGTTACATAACTCACGGCGGAGTTGGTGGCTGGTGATCTAAATGCAATGAAGATTGGGAAGTCGTAGATCCAGTATTGTGAACTGTAAATGGGGTGTCCGGATAAGCACTAAAAGTAAGTGCAAAATGTAACGCAGACGATCCTGCACTCACAATCACGACCATTAAAGACAAAAGGTTCAAGAATCACATTAAAATGCAACGGCCTCAAAAGTAGACTATTAATTTCATTTGCGCTATTGATCTCCAGTCTTACTAACCGCTACTAAGTTTTATGCTTCAATATGACGTTCACACGTTTGGGGCACACATGATTCACCCTTTTTATTTAGAGGTTTGACTTAAATGCTTCACTGAAGAACACGTTGACAACGTCTATTTATCGCATACCAAAAGAGGTGCTTGCGCTAATCGTCGATTGATAATCGATGACTAATACTTCTCAAAATGTAGATTTTTCGTAACCATTAGTTTTAAATTAAACCCCGACCATCAACTAAGGTTACTTTATTGAAGGAAATCACAAGAGCTAAAATTATAAAGGTATTTCAAACTTTTCCACGTCCGAAGAACATATACTTTGCCTAGGATAGGCACTTACGGATTACTTGACTTTTCCATGCGTAACACCTTAATTCGAGAGGTGCCAATGCAAATAGGTGGAGCTACCAACGCTAAATTAGCTGCAGACAACGAGTCGAGGGTTACGAAACCCTCCCCACTCCTGTGTACTCCATCTGGTAGAAGAAATCGCTGAATCTCACCAACGTGTCCAAATAGAGAGAAGGCTTTTCGTAAATCGGGCTCTGTTACGTTGGCTTTCATGCCAGTGAAGAACACGCGGTATCCCGGATCAACGCCACCACAATGCAGTGATGCGTCGACACCGTGCCTTGGTTAATGCAGAAAGGAGAACGAGTCAAGATGACGCACTTGTGCAAATTCACCAGTCAGACAAGAAATGGGTGCTGTAAATTGCCAATGCAGTGGGAATTCAGAAGTGCGAATAGACATGACTTACTTCTCTTTGGCTGTAGCACTCGTTTTTTTCAACCACCCTGCCAAATCAGCAGTTTGGTTGTCAGCAGCTTCTTCTGACCATGGCGCCGTATCGTCGCTCCTACATTGGTGCAAGACAGTCGATTACATTCGAGGATGCCAACACCCATCAACGCTTCTGATGCTGATCGAGACAAACTCACTTCTCAACTGAAAATGGCCCCGACGCATCCCAGCGCCAGTCTTCATCAACGAAATCTGAGTGGGCAGGGATGGTGGTAGCGTAGACCAGATGGGTTGGTTCTTTTAGCATTTCCAAGCGTACCACTATAATTCGAGAGGTGCGGATGGAAATAGGTGAAGCTGCCAACGCCGAATTGGCTGCAGACAACGAGTCGAGGGTTACGAAACCCTGCCCATTGGTGTGCACTCCATCCGGTAGGAGAAATCGCCGGATCTCACCAACGTGTCCAAACACAGAGAAGGCTTCTCGTAAATCGGGCTTTGTTACGTTGGCTTTCATGCCCATGAAGAACACGCGGTATCCGATACCCGTACCACTACTCTGGGATGATAGGCCAGTTGTGTTGCTTAATTAAAATAGAAGAAAGACCGTGTCAGATAGACGCAAATGGCAATCAGTCATAGTGTCAGTCTTAGTGGTCATAATTACTAGGAATGCCCACTCTGACTGACAATAGCAATGCTGGCTTCAGACTCCATTAACATTCGTTTACCCTCTATTTGGTCCACCGGGAAGAGGGAACGAAACGAACCTCTTAATCTGACTGGTGTATCCGGCAATGAGTTGCTTGACCACATCTGAACTTTTGCACCAACATTGAGGCAAGGAAAGTGGCCAGCGCTTAAAGCACGTGCAAAATGCTGGTGCGTGCGTAGAGCAATTGTAGTTGCGGAATCGACAAGCATCAGTGCTTAGTCACACCGTGACATGGAGGTACTTCAACTGTACTGTAAACCCTTTCATAAATTGACACGCTCCCCTTGACACAGAATACTATAACAGTCAGGATGTGGTGCTACAAGAAGGAATGAAAAGCACTCAGTCGGCTTGAGTAGATCAATCAGCATGTTAAAGCTACCGCCACTTAATCTGTTCCATGAACAGAGCAAGCCGGTGTTGCATTTGGCTTGTGTAAATGTGTGCTAATGTTAGCCTTAGACTAAAAAAGCCATGTTTACGGAACTAACCGTGTAGACGGAGTTGCTAATGGTGTAAGTGGTATCTGAGCAGCCGTTGATGCACTTCCAGGAACAGTAGCGGGAAATCTAAAGGTAAACACAACAATGAGTTGCGGAGATGCTGCATTCTCTGCGAAATCTGACAGGAAGCATGGAGATGATTGAGCACCCTACACTACTGCGTATCCACGAGCTAAGCGAATCATTATGTCAACGTGGACACTAAATTGTTCCGCGTAAAATACTCTGATGACAATTGCGTGTGCTAGTGGCCTCCTTCTCACTACTCACCGCATGTTACCAGAACTGCTTTGCACTATTTTGCACGCCAAACAGAGCATTTGTTCTAGATGTTCTGAAGTTTACTGCGGAAGCTAAACATGAATTGAGAGCGCCCATGCTTTTTCCTCAACAATGGAGAGAATGAGAATGGAGGTTTCGGGTGTGGTGCATCCACAATGCCAAATCTCAAGTGGTCCCACTTTTGAGAAGTAATATTCCGTCAAGAGCTTGACACAGATTGCAACTCCACTCATAGTGTCAGATACACCACGAGCAATGCACTGCACTACTGCCGCTTACTGGTGTCGCTACACAACAAAACACAGTTAAACCGTGATCGCGACAAGCCAAACAATGACCTGTAGTACTTGGTTCAGGCGAAGAGACCGATTGCATTTAAGTTATAGTGATCTTGTGAGAAATAACCACAGGCAATTCATGTAGCAACATGGGCTAAGACGCTGTGAACACTGCAGCTAAAAGGTGGATTAAAATTCGTACAAGAAAATGTAGTTCTTAAATACAAATGCCTGCACGACGGCTGCGAAATATGAGAAAGCAAAAGGCGTTACATAATCGGCCTAAATAACCATTTGATTATTTCTAAGCTTGGATTAACTACAATTTCATTACTGACCACGCATTTATGCTTACACATTTTACAACACCTCCCCTGGACGTTCACGACGTCTACATTGGTGGGAACATCTGAACTTGTCCTCGACGTCTGGCTGAGGCAGTTAATGTCCTCTACACGAGTACGAGTTTGATAATAAGGTGAGTATTTCATTCTAGCCCTCTCTACTAATGTTGTGAACATTGCTGAAATGCAAAACAAGACGTTTGATCATTTGTTGGTGAAGCTTCACATCTGAGCACCAGAAAACGACAAGCTCGTCCTGCACAATCACAGCCTCAGTCATCAAAATTCATCACCACACAATAGATCAAGAATGAAGCAAGGATTGAAATCTGCGAACGAATTCGACAAACATCTCAGCTGTTGCCTTCCTTTCCTTTGACCAATCGGCTGACTTAGTGATTTGGGGACCAGCTGATCCCATTGTAAAAATATTGCACGCCCTCTCACTTCCATCGACGCGACAACTGCTAACATTCAAGAATGGTGGCAGCCAGCACTGATGTTGCTACAACTCAAGACAAACTCAGTTCCTATTTGAAATTGACGCTGATCAGTCAGCTCATCAAGATTATAGACCAAGAAGATGCTTGACTCTCTAAGAACCTCAGTCTAAAAACCGTTTTTTAAACTCAGTTCTGGGTTCAAGCAGTTGGTACTCAAGCATAGCTTGTTAGCACCGCGATGAAGCCATCGATTCGTTATCAACCAACGTTTGTGCAATATGCTCGCGTAGTGGATGAAACAGCCTCATTGAGGCATTGTTGGCTGTCTGTCCCCACTTCAAACACTGTTTAATGAAGCAGTCACGAATGGCTCAGTTTGAGTGTTTAATGGTGTCATCATGTCTAGAGAAGTGACAGTGGACAACGACCACTCAGTCTACTGGACGGAATCAATCCGCGTGTGCTATACCCACCACTTAAAATCTATACCTCAATGGTTTGGGTAGGCAACTCAGTCTGTAGCAGGAACAGAGCAAATGTGTGAGTCATTTGAACACAAACATTTTAGCAACGGTGCATAAATGTGTCCACCTGCGAAATTGTCTGCTGGCCTGGCGGCCAGTGTTTACTGAACTCACAGTGGGGGAGGAGTTGGAGGAGGTGGAGGTACATAAGGGGTCAACAAGCAAGGCCGTTTCTGTTCAGTCGTCAGTTGTATACTTGGAACTGCAGCCGGGAATGTCTGAGGGTCACTACAGGCAAGCAAAGCATTGAGCGAAGGTGATCTTACTTTCACTGCGTAATCCAACATAATCCAAATAGTCCAATGATTACCCCTAAACTGCGCACTTACAGTAAAGGCGGAGGTACAAATGGATTCAACAAGCCAGGCCGTATCTGAGGAATTATTGGTTTCTCACTTGAAACTGCAGCCGGGAAAGTCAGACGAACCCTTAAAATAAGATCCGTATTGAGTGATTAGGGCCCTGCATTCACATTAAAAGCTTGCAGGAAGCAAGCAAAAGACCAAGTTCTCCTAAACTGTGAACTTACCGTGGAGGTGGAGGCATAAGAGGTGGCGTGAAGCTAGGCGGTGTCTGGGCAATCGTGGGACCCATTTTTGGGATCGTTGCTGGAAAAGCCGGGCGAAAACTAAAAGTAGGCTCAACAGTGAGTGGCGATAATCCCGCATTGACTATCAAAGCAAATGCAAGGCAAAAAGACTATCAGCCGTCACAAAATTGTGCTTTCTGTTTACGCTAAACTCATCATGGTTACAATGTGTCAACTAAAATATGCTGCATGGATCCACTGATGACTGGCACATCATCACAGCCAAAGCTGAAGGTGGTTTGACAGCCTCTTTACTTCTCCATCAACGTAAGAGCGTGAGTGTTAGACTGAGATTCCAACTCCAGCCATGGTGCCAGATACACCACGACCAAGGCGACACGACAAAGACAAGCCAAACAATGAGTTATAGTACTTCGCACACGCGAAACCCAATTATATTTAAATTACGCTGACCTGACGGGAAAGAACCGGTGACTCAAGTGACTATTGGAGAGGAAATCGATTAACCAAAAAACCAAGGTGTGTGAGGAGGAGGTGTGGATTAATCGCCAGCTCAATTCTGACCACACACATTCGCCAACACATTTCACGGAATCTTACTTGGAATATGAAAAATAAAGAACAAAACAACTTCCCGGTACCCTGATAAACACGTGGTGTCCGAGACGTACCTCTCAGCTCTCGAGCAATAGGCAGACCCAGTAACTTGTTGGCAAGCGGCTTCCTTTTGACACAGCCCCCCATCTTTGCTCCTACATCGATGCCCAACACCAGCTAACGTTCCAGAATAAAAGCAGCCAACGAGATTGAGGATGAGACAAACTCACTTCTGACTTGAAACTGACGCCAAAGCATCACTGCGCCAATCATCATCAACAACATCCGCATTGTTATTGATTGAGTCGACGTAGACCAGACGGGTTGACTCGAGTCTTGCCGACAACTAAAATACAAAAATTGAGAAATGAAATTGCAAAAAATTCCGTTGTGTTTCTGCCTCAAGGCCATGTGCTCTTTACTTACTGATGTCAACGCTTAAACAAAGTATAGCAATCAATGTGGCAACTTTGGCCAGATCAATGCAAGTACTTTCCAATTTGTTGAATCCATTATCGAGTCAGGTCTCTCACTTCCTTACAAATATTCACAAAAGCTACTTCGATTCATTTTTTATTGGCCAGCCAGTGTCCTAAACAAGTAACTATCCAAGCATTACCTTGTGCAACGCTTACAGCTTAGTTAGTCTAACTCGAATTTCCCTTAAACTACACCAAAAGACGTCCCCAGTGAAGGTACTGCGCAACTGTAGCTGGCGCTTATACAGTGAGTTAAAATCCTTCAGACGAAGTGGAACTGTGTGGTGGACTGCAATTCTTTTAAACTTCAACTAAAGCCTCCTTTTGTAAACATTACTGCAATTCAGGACTTTGGTTGCAGCTAAATAAAACGAAACATTATGCGTCATCTTCGTCCCCCAGTTATTGTTTAAAAAAAGATAGAGGCCAGAAAATCATTGTGAATTTTGCCTGTCATGTTGAGTCGAGGTGTAAGCACATTTCTGGATAGTAAATCATCGCTTCAACGCTGATCACAATATTGATCTTTGCGCGGGAAATGCATATTTAACACCAGCACCATAAAATGAACGCTACTTACCATCTTAAATACAGTAGACACCGACATCAGCCGAAGGGGTGATGCGAAGCCATCGGTGAGGTTTTCGATTCCTTTTACTCCTTCAATGAGAGCCCTCGCTCTTTGTCTGTATTTGAGAAGAATCGCCAATTTCTAGACAACGAAAGGAACGTTCCTGCATCTGTTCTTTTTGTAAATCATTTCAACTAGACAGACATCCTCTACATGAAATCAAGGTTAATGGCGTCCTTATTTTTATTTTTCACATCTACAATCGAACTAACAACAATGACAATGACTGCTGCATACTGACGCACACATCAGATTCAGCACTTCACAACGCGGTTGAAAAATGTCAGGTAATAAAACGAAAGCAGCTAGTGTATACTAACAACAGGCATTATTTACATCAGCAAATTACTTTTGTAAAATACCATAACATACCCCACATCCACGAATATGTGCCGAGTCTTGTTCCAGCTGTTTGAATTCCTCCCAGCATTCAAATAATTTGCGTGCAGCTTTCTCGAGGGTGACAGTTTCCTGTTTTTTAATAAGAGTGAGATGATCATTAGCCCTCAGCAAAGCATTATCAGCTGCCAGGTTAAGGTCCTTGGTGGCAGCGTCAATTTCCGTCTTCAGTGTCTGCAGACGGCTGGAAGATGAAATTTGCTGACGCATTTGCTGAAGCTTCTTCTTGATTTCCTCTTGTGACTGCAGACGCTAAAGAACCAACTTTACTGCTAATTAAAAGTTGTTTTAACAATCTAATATATTACAAGCATAAAATAACATTAAGCGCAAGTAAAACAAGTTGTAAGACACTTACAATCTCGACCACGTCTGCCCAGATACATTGTTTCTACACAGTCTTACTCACTCACTACTCAGTTTCTACGTCTTGTAAAATAGTTGAAAATGTGTTACTTCTGTTAATTTTCGTACCATTAAAAGTACGTACCACATTGTTCGATGAAGGCAACAGACAACCAATTGAAGCGTCCTGCCACATTTCTCTGCATGAATAAAAATATCAGAACGTTGTTTTACCATATATACTTGCTTCCACATCATTACGAAATTATGCCAGGTAATTGCTAGGACTTGTTTCCGTTCTTTATCAAAAATACTAACAATGTTCTTACATTAACACTACGGTCATTTATAAAATGTCAAGTACGTTATTTTTCCTACAGTAAATGGCAATACTACAAAACAACATACTCAGTGCAGCTTCTTTGCAAACATAGACGGTGGCATTAAGCTGAAGAAATTTGATAATCAACTGTCAACAGGTTGTCACTCTCTTTCGTCAAATTTGACCTCAATCACTACAACAGATGCATCTTTCTTACAGAAATTAGGATACGTCAGTCATGTACTAATATGTTTCCACAATATTTAAATTTTGTGATTTTATCGGAATTGTTAATAATAGCCTGGAATAGAGAAAAAAGAATAAATCAGCCTGACTCGTTTTAAGAACTTGTATTACTGGTCGACATTTACTAATGCACACTGGCTAGAATTAAGGAATTATTTATGTACCAGAACATACATCTGAAAATTGTCATTAAAATGGAATTGAATTTCTCAAATTGAATTCCACTGCGCACTAATATTGTACCTTGTTTTTTTTTGTTAATTTTACCACTTTCTAAAGATTAAAAATGCACGGACAACAAATCGAAATTATCGACGCACAAGCCAGATCCGCGAAACTACAAAAGCCGGAAAATCGGAGAACGCGCACAACTGTGCGACAGCCCAAAGGTCGTTGTATACTCTACCATGATACAATAAAAGTGTGAAGAACTTGCATCCAGATTACTAAACTAATTAATCACCCCTCAATGGTTGCCCATTTTATTAAACTAAATGTAAATATGCTATAATACTTAGACCTGAAATGTCAACAGAACTGTGAGGCTTACCTTATTGCCTATCCACGTTCCAATATTTTGGTTTTTAGACGAAGCAGATATCAACAACGAAGTCGCATTGAAATACAAGTTTAAAGGATGCTTAAATTCCATAACTAGTGCAAATAAATAGAACGCAGAGAATTCGGTCCAATTGAAAAATGGCAAAATAGTGAAAAGTATAATGCTAAGCAGTCTTAAACAAAAAGAAATTACAACGAAGCCGCTTCATTAACATTGAAAACCCAATGGGTTTCTCCTGATTAAATTCGAGGTTTCTTCTTCGGTGTCATTCAAAAAGTATTTGATGGGGTTTTGTTAAAATTGGGTTTGTAGGGCAATAAGAACTCAAAGCTATTTACAATACTTATAAGCCGCAAAATTATATCACAGCATGACCACTCTAAAATACTTCACAATTTGACATTATAGCATGTCAACGTGTAATTAGCTAAAAAATGAGAAACTTCGAATAAATCAGTTCCACACAAATAATGAGTCCCCTTTTGTCTTCGAAAGTTATGGGTTTTAATGTTTGGCTCTTACAACACCGTTGACTCAAACGATACTGAATTCCACGTGCAAGTCTGTGGTGTGTACTATGTTTCGATGAGTAATTCGAACGTAGTGGTAGATTTGCAAAGGCAAAATGGCGACTGAATTTTTAATTTCAATGCTGTTTTCACTGGTAATATGAGCTTCGAAAAGCGACGCATCGTATGAAGATCTTTCATGCGTGAGAAGAGCAAAGCCAGGGTATGATTTTAAAGCAGTCTACTTTTAACGGTGCTTACACTCATTGCCTTGCAAAAATTCAAGAGACAAGCATTAATTGCTACTGGCATCTCTTAATTTTTAATTGTCAAGACTTTGCTAATTGCCTTTACATCCAGGAGGCGCCAAATGAAGCTGACTGAGATCATCACCACAAATCGTCTTTACTGTTTGCATGGACTGATGCATCAAAATTTATCTTCATTAGATTTCGTCTAAGATGACGACAGGAAGACTTTTTTGCATCTTGCCTCAGATGTTATTGATTCTTGTAAAAACCCGACAATTGCTTTTGCCAGTCTCTTAATCATAAATCGACTTAATTCCAAAGTAACGCAGCAGATATTTTAGACGACAACACTAACTCTACCTATCTGGTAAGTTTCCAATACCATTTAGGGATAATTGACTAGGATTTAGCTGACCATGGTTTCTGCTGACAGTCAAAACGAATTGGTAGTGCACACCACTTCGACACAGTCTATCCACTCGGAAGTAATTCACATCACAATATTCTAGCATTTGTCGCAAAACATAATCGAAATTTAACACAACATGGTTCTACACAAATAAGGAGTTCCTTTCGACTTGTGACACTTCCGATCTCAACGTTTGTCTATCTACCGTGATATTTCAAGCACGGAGAAAGTAGGCATTATTGTTAATTTAAGGCTAATTGGCTGTTTTTGGTTGCTGTCACTGTAGTCCGTGAAAGTCCACAAGGTAATCCTAACAAGAAATTGGCGTCCCTCAAAAATCGACTACAAAATGTTGTCCAATGGAAGGTAGAGAGCACAGAAACTACGCATGCTAAACCCGCCCAGTGAAGATGCTTAAGATCGTCGTTAATTCGTCTTTGTTTACCTATTGTTATGCACCAATATCTATTTTGATCTGTTACGTTTGCTCATGAAAAGAGAAAATCGCTCAGATAACCGTACCAGAACCCCTGCGGACGCTTTCACCGACCGTCTCACGCTAATACAAGAACAAGACCAGACCCTGCTTAGAGAGCTTTAATAACGTCAGCCCTGTGCGAGTGAGTTGTCAAAAGTAAAACTAATTCAAGTCAATGATGACTTTGACCTGATAAAAAGCATAATAAAACATAGTGTCAAAAACCAACGATGAGCCATCTCGGGGTATCGGGGATCTCCAACAGCTCGACATTGTCTACGCAGAAATTTCCAGAATTGCTCAGCAATTTACCTCAATGGTTGTGGATTCTTGTACAAGAAACCAACCCAGTCAAAGTTAATGCACTTACGTGTTTAAGTAATGCAGCACATCTCTTGCAGGTGAACCTATTTTAATATTTTGATCCCATGTTGATCAAAGAATCTTGGAGACGCAGTTTAATTTGCTAAATGCATACAGCTGGGTTGTAAGGCAAACCTAAGTGCGCTGGGAAGATTCTTATGGCAGCAATGTGGTGTAACGCATATTTCAATATAAAAATTAAACTGGAGCGAATACGAGGTATCGATATGCTAGGATTCTTCTGTCAGACATAATCATGAAAGCGCCGTGGTAGACCGTATGCTTAAGGAATGCTTTCTATGCCATGTCAAATGATAGCTCAAATCGTTTCTCACCATCTAATTTGTTTCTGTCACCTATACATTAAGCCACATTTTAACGAGATGGTCGTCATATATGCAGATCAAAGGGTTAAAAACCGTGAAACGTGTTATGTAAACATTGTTGTTGCTTTTATAGAGAAGAAGAATATCTAGTTATAAACAAAAGAGGTTGTTGTCGGAATTGAAGCCTTAAATTCAGGAATGCATATCTGGGTCGGTCTAAGTTTAAAGATAGATCCTGTAATAAAATAAACATTGAAAAATGCTCATAAATGCAGATAAAACTGTGGAAAGCTTTGTTACACGAAGGCACAAAACATGAAATGTATCACTGAAAGCAAAAACAAAGTCAGGCGTCACAGCTGGTACTGGAGAATTTGGCAAATATTAGTTAAGTGGGTTAGATAGCTGTATTACTTCCCTGGTTCTGCGAACCTAAAGCAACAGAGTATTTATGATTTAGCACATTTAAAGCAAGTAGAAGTACCCATAGATTTATTCAAAAAGAAGTAGTTTGCTCACTCTTTGTCCCTGTAAGTTACAAAACAAAATCTAGTGCGAATGGAATTACACTCGTTAACAACTTCTTCATTGACAAAGACTATGGACGTTCTTTGTACAGCTAAGAAGCATGTGACTGATTAAACTTACAAATAATTGCAGTCAATTGTCTCAAAAATACTGCATGATGCGAGGGATCACTGAACTTACATAAATTTGCTGAAACAAAGAGAAAAGAATGCCTAGAGTACCGCACCGGCCATCTTTCTGCAGGTTGTCTGCGACGTGTGACATACAGACATGCCCCAACAATAAACACTTACATTTCACAGAATTGATTTTAGCCTGGTTAGCTTGCTTTGTGAGAGATGTTTGTCAATCTCTGAAATAGCTTATAACAAGATCGACCAAGGCGTTGAGGAATTTGACAACGGACAGCCAAATTGGCCTGGTCGGGACATATCTCATGACTGCACCAGCGATTGTGACACACACACACACACACCAATTCACTTGCACAACTGTCAGTGCGCGTACCAAGGGAGCATTGAACGGCTGCACTGCGAATTGCAGCATTCAATAAGTAACGCACTGCGCTGACAATTCGCCATACGTCCTCGTTGCTTGCACCTTTCACTTATAAACGAACAGGCGTAATGTGACCAGCTTCATTCACCAATACTGTCACATTTAAATGGCTGCCTGCGGCCAAATAATTCTGTTCACGGCAACAATTTCCACAGTAAGTCACTCGTCGACACCCTCATCGTTTCAATTGATACCTCAAACTGGACTTAGTATTCACGCGTAGATACTGTTTTTTTTCACAAAAATAGCCTTATCTGTGCAGATTTAAAGATCAAACACTAAAGAAAATGCTTTAAAACTGCTGTTTCGGTTTTTTCCAAGAAGGCAATGAATGATTTCCCAGCGAAATGAGTTGATTTGAAATCTCATACGGCTCTTAGTAGTCACACATAACCAGTCAAAGTTAATGCACTTACGTGTCTAAATAATGCAGCACATCTCTTGCAGGTGAACCTACTTTAATATTTTGATCCCATGTTGATCAAAGAATCTTGGAGACGCAGTTTAATTTGCTAAATGGATACAGCTGGTTGGTAAGAAATATCTAAGTGAACTGTGGTGCAACGCATATTTCAATGTGTAAATGAAACTGGAGCGAATACGTGGCACCAATTTGCTTGGATTCTTCTGTCAAACTCAATCAC